CTTACTTCTTAATACTTTTCCTCTCACCTAGTTGTTTAAATAAACCACTCTTAAATCTATTACCAAATAATGCCACTTCGGATTTCAGACTTTAAAATCCATTACCTAGTGAATCAAGCTTTCTCTCTGTTATAAAAGCACATCTATGAGAGTGAAAATTCCATTAGGACTCCAGCTAGTGTTTAGCATGACACTGTGCCAACAGTATACATACTAGGTTCTTAATAAATGTATGTTAATTGGCTATTTGTATTTGTGATTTGGTTAAGAAGAAAAAACCATTTTTGCTTTATCTGAATCATCGCCTACTGTAGAAACTGCTTATTTGCTTGTGTTTTCTCCCGTACTCTGTCTTCATATTCTCAACCAAATTGGAAGATGTTATAGCATTTGAGCTTCATTAAATAGAAAGCAATTTTATTAAACCTCAAAGTCTTTTTGCAATGAGAATTCTCACAAAAACATGATGTCACTCTCACAATTTTGGTACAAAATTACAGGCTGATAAAAAAGAGTTCATAATGATGACATAATTATTTTATCAAATCATCCATTGAATTCAATTTTTCAAGTTTAAAATATCAGTGTTGAGGCATTAAAATATTATATGAAATGCTTCATAAATATGAATGACCTTCAGAGAAAATTCAAAAAGTAGCAATAAAATTGGCTGTTTCATTTATAAAATATCTTCTGCTGGTTTTAAGGATATTTCTCTAAGTGTAAATATAGTATCCCCAAGAATGTAAGGACTTTAAAATACAATCTAGAAAAAAAAAATGGACCTAGCTACTTTCATCTGAGCTATTATTGATCGCTGTCTTTGCAGTTTTGAATCATTTAGAAGAATATTCGTTCTGGTATGTTAGGTCATCTAGATATACAAGTTCTGTTAATCAGTCATTTTTTTATAATGGGGGTTCACATGTATTATAACATATATGACATATTTTTAAATGATCATGATTTTATGATGTAATTGTAGATTGATAACATCTATAAACTAAGTCTTTAAAATACACATTGATGATACTGAATCAGGCTGAAAGTAACTTTTCATAAGTCAGCGTTTCTGTAAGATAGACATTTTTTCTTCAGTTAGCTAATTCATTTGCCTCTCAGTTGTTAGTTTACTGTTCACTTTTTTAACAAAGTTAATAAAATGTTTTCATAACCATATATTTTCAAGAATTACTGTTTGAACATATTTAGTCAAAGGTACACAAATAGGATAATTCATAAACATTATAATACTGTTATATTAAAAACCGTCATTCATTAGGACATTTACTAATTTGAATTTCATAGCTACTTTGAAAACAAGAATTAGAAGAATCTGATGACATTCTTACTGAGAGACAATTCAGAATATATGTATTTACCTTCTACTGAACATATAAAAAAAATGTTAGGCTAAGTAATAAAAATTATGCCTAGAAATCTTGATTTTCTCCAAAACCATAGCAAAATAAATAAATAAATAAATAAAAAGTAACCAGCAGAAAAACAATCCAAAGGCAATGCAAAGTTCTTCCCTGGGCTTCTCATCTAAGAATATGCCTGATAAATCATAGTTATTTTTTATTAGGTTGGTGCAGAAGTAATTGCTGTTTTTGCCATTACTTTCAATGGCAAAACTACAATTACTTTTGAGCCAGCCTAATAGTTAGGTTAGTGTAGGTGACAATGCTTAACTTGGCCTGATTCATGTGTTAATTGTCTACTTGATGCATTTGGGAGTTGGGGCACTACAATCATCAGATCCACTCCAGCTTCTTGACCACGTATTACTTAGAAAATATTTAAAATAATGTAATCCCATGTGGTCAACTAAGATAATGTACATAATAGCATTTCCTGTTAAAATACTGGATTCCAGCAATTCATGTTACATGCGCACATTGTTCTCTAAAAAGCACCCAGATAATTAAAGCAATTGTACAGAAAACGCAAATCAAACACTAATCAAATTGCCTCAATTAGTCCCTTTGTGTGGACTTTAGAGATGAACACCAGACATTGATGATTACCACCCTCATAAACAACATCTACATTTGAGCAAATTTTAGCAAAGTAGATGAGGGAACACAGGTAAGCCATACAGAGTTTTAAAATAAACCACATAATTTCCCATCTTCTGTAATACTGATCTGATTCCTGGTCCAGAGAAGAGTGTGATGCAATGAAAAAGGAAAACAAAGGTCTTGACAATCATTTCTGTCAAGATGGCCCCGGGTAAGAGTTATAAGTCTTTCCCAGGAAAAACTGCATCTTGAATTTTCTACCTCTTCCCCAAATCTACATGCTGCTTTTCATGAAATTCAAACTCTCTCTCTCTGTACATATGTGTGTGCATGTGCATATATATATATATATATATGTTCACTTTTTAACAAAGTTAATAAAATGTATATATATCCCATACAGCTAAGTCAAGGAGGACTGGATTTTGAAGTTACATGTTAAATCTAATACAATCATTCTTTAAGCAAGCATAATAGAGTGAAACGAAATCCATCAAGATGACATTGAGAGAAGCAGGCTGGTTAATTCTCTTTTTTAATATGATCTGGAGAAAAAGGATAAAGGCCCCTCACTCAAGCTCTGGCTTATCTAACTCTCAGCCAATCAGTAACGAGAGACCCAAGAAGCTATTAATTCTAAGTTTCTATTTCAGGAAGTTAGCAACTTCCCTGGAGCCACTGAATGCACAGTTAGAATTAAACTCCAACCTATAGTTAACCCTTACTCATTTTAATGCCAAAAATTGTGCCCAGCGCTGGAAATTTAAAATGCTAATGCTACATATGATACACGAAGCGTGTTGTGCCACTGCCCAAGCTCGAGAAAAGCCCTGACAGAATCCTTCCCTGTAGAAAGATCCTATGACACTGACTCACACGCTACCTTCATAAAGCATTCCTTTCCCTTTCTCAGTGCTGGGTCCCTTGTGCACAAGCTAAATAAACTTTATCTTTATCAAGAGAAACCAGTAGTTTCTCTTTATTTCTGTCCTGGGAGACTGCAAGAACCCAATGCACCAGTAACAACAACTACCATCACATTTTGATGAGGAGACGCAGGCCTTTAGCTTAATCTGATGATATTTTGACTTCTCTATGTTTCTTAAGAAGTCAAGTTTCTTTGAACACAGCTATTCAAATCCCTTTTGATGGTTTTGTGTTATTAACAGGCATATCAATTATAAAACCATCAGATCTCATGAGAACTCACTCACTATCACAAGAACAGCATGGGGATAACCAACTCCATGAATCAATTACCTCCACCTGGTCTCTCCCTTGACACATGGGGATTATGGGGATTATAGAGATCACAATTCAAGATGAGATTTGGGTGGTGACACAAAGACTAACCATGTCACATGTTAATGTTTATAGTATTCATAGAATCACATCTTTTGGTAATTTTTATGCTTAAAAAACCATGTCCTTAAAGTTGACAATGCAAACATTACTTCCATATGTGCGCTTTCCATTATGAATGGTAAATGATATTATTATTATATATTATGCCTACTCATTATATCCTATGTATTAACTCTATGTGTACATATATGCATACAATGTGAATTGATAATATAGAGGAAGAGCAAGTGATTCCCCTCTGACCCCATTTTTCATTTTTTAATAGGATTATTCAGTTGGCCCATTCA